ACAACTAAAGATCCCTCATGCTGCAACTAAAATCCCGCAAGTGGCAACAAAGATCCCTCATGCCACAAGACCCAGCACAGCCAAATAAATAAATAAATAAATTTTAAAACTGCATATTCAGAGGCCCCCTGTGGAGGTAACATTTCAGCTGAGACCTGCTGAATGAGTTGGAATTAACAAGGTTGGAAGAGGGCAAGGGCTCCCAGGCCGAAGGAACAGCACGTGAAAACCCTGGAGGCAATGGTGAGGCATTGCAGTCCTAAAGCTGAATAAGGCCAGCAAGGTGGGGCTCAAAACTGAGAAGAGTGTGTGCTGAAAGGAGGCGAAAGAGGTCAGCAGAGCTGGACCATGCAGGACTTTTGAGGTCACATGAAGGGCTGAGTTTTTATTCCTGGGCACTGGGTAATCACAAAAGATTTCAAGTAGGGATCTGATTCGATTGGGTTTGCATTTGGGGAGGAGAATGAGAAACAGGCCTGCCCTGTCAAAGGGATGGGTCAGAGACATTCACATGACCTGACCAGTGTGAGAGAAAATCTGTGAGACTCAGGCTCCCTTCCCCAGTGGGACTGGATCCCTGGCAGGATGTAGGCTGGAGCTATCGCAGCTACTTCATCCACAAGAGGGTAGCCTATCCAAGAGGGAAGCCAATGCATAGAAGAGCAGAGCTGAGACAAGGACAGAAAACGTAGATCCTGGTGATGTTTGTGCTCCTTGATCAAGCTGAACCTGAAGTCCACTGAACTCCTTTGCTATGTGTTATGTGATAGTTCTGGCTGCCATAACAAAATACCACAGACGGGGCAGCTTAAACAACAGAAATGTATCTTCTGGAGACTAGGAAGTCCAAGATCAAGGTGCAGGTTAGGGTTCTCTTCCTGGCTTGCAGATAGCCACCTTCTCACTCTGTCCTCACTGGGTGAAGAGAGAGAATGCTCTGGTATCTATTCCTCTCCTTTTAAGGACACCAGACTTATTGGTTTAGGACCCCACCCTAATGGCCTCCTTTATCACCTCCTCACAGGCCCTATTTACAAATTCAGTCACATTGGGGGTTAGGGCATCAACATATGAATTTCGGAAGAACACAATCATCCAGTCCATAACTCTGTGGAAGCCAATAAATACCCTTTTTCCTTAAGCCAGTTTGAGTTGGATTTACTGTCCCATGGAGTGGGTAAACTACAGACTGATACGGAGGGCGAGGAAGATGCAGACGCTAAGACAACAGATAGGTTTTCAGCCAGTGCAACATATATTTGCTCATAGCAAAATAATTATTATAAGTGTGATATATATCTGTATAGGCACAGACTATAAGGCAAGATAAACAATATAACATAGTTGCTATTAGTGATCAGGCCTGTGAAGTACACAGTCATTCTTACCTAGTTATAATACAATGTTATGTACTAACTATTCACCGTGAGGTCCTGCTGCCCCTGCCTACCTACCACCTGAGTTGTGCCTGTTCTGTGGCCTACGAGATGCATGAAGCCTCCGGGAAATTACGGAGTTTGTGTGCATGAGTCCCATGTAGGAGTCAGAGGCTGAGTGGTCCTGCTGCAGATTGAATAGAGAAGTCTGGACACTTTTGCTGTTCAGAGGGTTTTGTGCCCTCTTGTACGGTATAAATCCACAGCTTTTTATTTATATTTTGTTTACTAGTATTTTTTGTCTTATTGTGCAATAAACCTTTTCAGGAGCAATAAATGTTTTTTTTTAAAGTCCACATTTAATTTAAAATTAAATTTTATATTTCCATTTTTCAGAGTCGATTATGAAATTGAAACTTCGACAGAATGTCTGTGGACATTTACATCTCACCCCGGGCGCCAAAGAGATATTAACTGAAAACCAAACCAGATGACACAATTCTCATTCAGAAGTATCACATTGACTTCGAAAGTTAGTAATTATTTTAAGAAGGCTGTGCCCCAAAATGAATTAACATGTGAAGCTGCAGAAGTGGGTTGACATTTCATTCTGTAAATCATGACTCTTCATTTAGATCAAATGACTTTTTATACATTAGCTTCACTCGTTTTTCTAATTCCAAGTTTTCTTGTGCTCATTCCACTGTTAATGTGTTGGCTCCACTGGCTGAGGAATTATTCCACTGTGGATGCCATATTGTTATCAGAGTCATTAGATGCTGCCATTTCTTGCCTCCGATTCATGGAATCAAAATTAAGCTTTTGGAAGTTCATTCTCTCCAAAGTGCAAAACTAACATCATTGTGAATGCTACTCAGCTAATATAAGTTGAACACCAAAGACATTTTTTTCTTGCGGTGATAATACTCACATAACGTTCAACAGGCACAGCATAGGGGGACTAACATTCTTACTAAATTAAGAACCCCTCAGGAATTCCCTGGCGGTCCAGTGGTTAGGACTCTGTGCTTTCACTGCTGAGGGCCTGGGTTCAATCCCTGGTCGGGGAACTAAGATCCCGAGTGCCAAGCTGCACGGCCATTAAAAAAAAAAAGAACCCCATGAAGCAGAAATACACCTGGAATTGGATGTGGTGAAGAATTACATCCAAACAAGCTGTAAAACTGAATTAGAAATCATAGTTGTCAAAAATTTACAAATATTTTTTCACAGAGTAACTGAACGGCAAAATTTTCGTGACAAAGCTGACATTAAATGGAAAAAAAGCACTTCAGCATGGTAATAACATGTTTTTCCCTGTAACATGTTTCTTCACCATGTCAATGAAAAAAATTAATCAGTCGATCTAAGAAAGAAATGGAAAATTTTATTTGAGCCAAATTGAGGATTATTACCTGGGAAGTCTTTCAGAGAGCTCTAAGGACTGTCCTGCCTGTTAGAGGTCAAAGCACAGGGATATAAGTTTTTGAGACAGAGGGCTATATGTTAAATGACAGTTTACACAATCCAGATCTACGTGTACAAAACAAGTAGTAGGTCATGGGTCACGGCTGCCTCTTTTAAGATTAAAAAGGAAGGTCATCTCCTAAGGAGTAATGATCCTTGATGAGATTAAGAAAGAAGGTTATCTCCCAAGGAGGTCGGGTAAATGTGGATGCACAATATACACTAAAGGGCAGGGAGAGGGACTTCCCTGACCGGTCCAGTGGTTAAGACCCCGTGCTTCCAATCCAGCAGGTGGGGGATCAGTCCCTGGTCAGGGAACTAAGACCCCACATGCCATGCGGCGTGGGCAAAAAAAAAGTAAAACAATTTAAAAATAAATTAAAAAGCGGGGGAGGGGAGCAGGGAGGAGGACCAAACAAGCAGATAAGTTTTATGTTTTTCTTATCTCGCCATAAAATATGAATTTTATTTCATCATCATCAACTGGAGTTTGGAAGTTTGAGCTTTTGCATAACAACTTAAGTGTCCTAGTCACACTGAACGAGTCCTCTACATTGGTGCATTTTGTTCAAATTCAGCTTAAAAGGTTTAATCAAGGACTTCCCTGGTGGCGCAGTGGTTAAGAATCCGCCTGCCAATTCAGGGTGACACGGGTTTGAGCCCTGGTCCGGGAAGCTCCCACATGCCATGGAGCAACTAAGCCCATGCGCCACAACTACTGAGCCTGTGCTCTAGAGCCCGCGAGCCACAACTACGGAGCCTGTGTGCCACAACTACTGACGCCCACGTGCCTAGAGCCTGTGCACCACAACGAAGAGTAACCCCAGCTCACCACAACTAGAGAAAGCCCTTGTGCAGCAACGAAGACCCAATGCAGCCATAAATAAATAAATAAATAAGTTTTAATCAAAATATTCAGTAACTGAAGCACAAAAAAAACCCTTTAGTCTTTGAGCTTTCCAGCAAATTACAATTACTGAGAAGTTGCAAATGGGAAAATAACGAAACGCACCCCTATGGAAGCAACAGAACTTGGAACAACTAGGACGATCAAAGAATGATTTTTGAAATTCTGTAACTTCACTCTGCGCTTGGGAAGATGTCGGTGTGGTCGGTGCGGGACACCGATGGTCGGTGCGGGACACCAGTGTCTCTGGGCCTCGGTTTCCCCTTCTGGGCACTCCCTGGAATCCCTTCCGGTTCCGACCGCGTGGAGTCTGGAAGGCCTCACTCCCGGCATCCCCCGGGGTAGCCACGGGCTGAAAGAGAAAACACCGCCCCGACCAGGCGCGCGTGCGCACACGCCGGCCGCCCCAGGCCACAAACGCACCACCCCCGCGCGCTCACGCACGCGCAGTGGCGCGCGCATACCCTTCGGAAGGCCCGGCCTTTGGGTTCCCCGGGTCCAGCGCCCCAGCTTTGCGCCCCGGCTGCCTTCGGCGAGCCTGGAGGCCAGGAGTGTGGGCGGGCTTGCGGGCGGTGGTGGGCGGGGAGCCCAGAGGAGGGCGGGGCGGGCGGAGTCGAGAGGGCCGGGCCTGCGGGCTGCGGCGGCGCTGGACTTGGCGCTGGCGCTGGTGGAGGCGACATGCAGGCCGACGCGAGGCTGGAGCGTGGCAGCCGGGTCCTGACGCCGCAGTCGGCGCCGAGCTTGGAGCCGGACCCGGAGCTGGGCCCGGACCCGGAGGAGGACGCGCGGGCCCGGGCCAAGTTCGCGGCGCTGCACGGCCCGGCGCTCCGCGCGTCGGGGGTCCCCGAGCGGTACTGGGGCCGCCTCCTGCACAAGCTGGAGCACGAGGTGCGGGCTGGGGTGACGCGAGGAGGGCGACGCGCCGGCCGGGGAGAACCGGGGTGCAGGGCGCGCCCGGAGCGCCCCGGGATACCTTTGAGAGGTGCCAGTGAAGCTGGGATGCGGGTCCTCGAGGCGCGCATCCTCCAGTCCTGGTCAGCGCGAGCCCGGGGAGCGCCGGGGGTGGGTCGCTCTGGACCCTTCTACCAGGAAGGGTGTGGTCTGCGGGCCGGCTCTTGGCCGAGAGCTGCTGGGGTGGGGCGGCCGAGGGCCTCCTGGAGGACGCGTGCGGAGGAGGTTGGGAGGGCGCCTGGGGGAGTTGGTGGCTGGGAGAAGGAGAGCGAGCGCGTTCCGGGGCGGGGCGGGCTTCGGTGAGACGCGCAGCGGAGAGTTGGGGGGCGGCGTTAACGGATGATGCAGGGGAAACGGCCGGTGGTTTGAGGATGAAGAGCCACGAATGCCTTAACGACCGACTTAGACTTTAACTCCATGGCGGTTTGTGGCCTAGGAGTGGCGGCCAGAGCCTGTACCTGTGTCCCTGGTCCTGCCAGCATCTGGGGCTGGGCCAGGGCCGCGGCGAGAACTGGAACTGAAATGAACTTTGGCTCCCGTTGTGTGCCAGGCCCTGTGCTGCGTCCTCCACACATCCGAGCCCAGAGCAGTCCTGGGGCGGGGGGTGGTAAGATTCATCACCCACACTTTATACAGTGCAGAAAACTGAGGCTCAGGAAGAGGAAGTGACACTCCCAAGGTCTGCCAGACTTCAGAACTAGAAGCTTGCTTTCAGCCACTGCCTGCCTCAGGGAAAACAGACGTCCAGTGAGTTTGTGTGGCTTTAACTGTTTAGGTCACAGAGTTCTTTCGTGGTTCTTCATTTGATTTGAGCCCCGGGTCACCTTTATTTTGCATATCAACGAAGACAGGCTGTGGGAGGTGGAGACAGAATCTAAACAAAAGTGAAAAGAGGGCTTCCCTGGTGGCGCAGTGGTTGAGAGTCCGCCTGCCGATACAGGGGACACGGGTTCGTGCCCCGGTCCGGGAAGATCCCACATGCCGCGGAGCGGCTAGGCCCGTGAGCCATAGGCCCGCGTACCGCAAAAAAAAAAAAAAAAAAAAAAAGTGAAAAGAGCTCAGATGCTTCAAGGGTCTCCCTTTTTGTGGGGTCGGCTCTTTTCTGCTGGCCTGTGCTCTAGCCTGTGTCTCCAAAGGGCCTCCGCAGGGTCCTGGCTGAGGGGTGGGCCTTGGGTTTTGGTGGTTTGCCCACGTGTTGAAGCCAGAGCACGTTCACGGGCGCTCTGTTGGGGCCTTCTGAGCTGGAACCAGATTCCTGCAGGGGCTGCCTCCTGGGCCGAGACAGTCTGAGCAGTGCAGGTGGCGAGGTGGGACCCTGGAGCCAGGAAAAGGCTGCTGGACAAACTGCACCCTTTCAGCCAGTCTCTCTGCCTCTAAAATCAGGGTTGGACCAGGTACCTTCCTGCCCAAAACACAAGTAGTTGCTGTAAAAAAAGGTGCAGTGTTATTGGTACCTACCTTTTGTAACAGTGAATTCCCTTCCCCCCTATGACTTGCTCTCAATTCGCCAGCATTTCCTGAGCACTTACCCTAGTCCCAGGCCTGTGCTGGGCAGGAGGGGACCCCAGCGGTTTGTTAGGATAAAAAGGTCCTCGTGTACTGGGTGAAAGGAGCACGAGGTGGAAACACCCTGGCTCCGGCCCTGCCAGCCTCTGCGGGCAGTGAACTCACCTGGGCAAGTCACTTGCCCTTCTGAGTCCATGTCTCCCTCTGGAAAGTGAAGACCAGGAAACATGGCTCCGACTTCCACAGTCTTGGTGGGGGACTGGGTGGAGAGGCATGCCCAGCTCATAGTCACCAGAGTGTAATGTCCCCTCCATCCTGGCTGCAAGATCTGCAGGCCGCCTGGCCATTGTCGCTCTGCGGAGGGACAGCCAGTACTTTTCCGTGACCCTCCCTTGCCCTTATGGGTTATGGGCAGAGCTGTGAGTCACCACAGCCAGACCCAGACCTGCAGCCATTGTTCTGCCAAGCCTGCTGCTGTGCGCCCAGGTATGGGGGAGGGCCACAGGCACCTGCTGACCTAGGAATGGGGCCCCCCAGCCCCCCACGAGCCAGGGACCCCGGTGCCTTGGAAAGGATGCGGAGTGTTTTACAGTAAATTTCAGCTCTTTTCTGTCTGCAGGAACTTCCCAGCTGCAAAACCATTCCCCTTCCTTACCTCGTTAGGGCCTCCTCCAGTCCCTCTGTGAGGGGATGGTGGTCACCCCCATTTCACAGCTGGGAGAAGCCACGCCCTGTACTGTCCCCTCCCTCCTGTCAGGTTTGGGGGTAGAGGGCTGGGATACGGGGTTCTGGGTGGAAGCCCAAGGTGTGAGTCCCAGCCTCTGAGCTGCTCTCTTCTCACCTCCAAACTGGAGGGAGGATAGTGGCTTCACCCTGGGATCGGGGGCCGGTGGGGGGGTTAAAGGCGCCGTCCCAAAAAGTGCCCGAGCTCCCCTGCGGATGGACCTGGTCGGCTCCACAGCCCTTCCCGCCCCAGCTTCTCTGCCTGGAGTCCTTGCACCACCACGGCATGGCCACACGTTTAAATCTTCCCCTTCCTTCACCGCTCACCTCAGGTGACGGCTTCCCCGTAAAGTCTCATGCGGCCCTCCAGGCCCCCGCACCGCTTACCTGGTCCTCTCAGATGGCCCCTCTGCCACTCGGGGCAAGGTCATGAGTGATTCATCCTCACACCCCCAAGTGCCCGTCCTGCGCAGCACGTCCAAGCTGCTGGTGCCTGAACAGATGGCTGATTTCCAACTACTGGGATGCGTTTCTCTTCTGTTTTTAGTAGAGTCATGAGAAAGGTTTTAGGGGCAGCTGGCCTTCGCTGAGTCCCTGCTCTATGCCCCGGACTCTCTGTGTACTGTTTGGTTGACGTATCGCTCTCAGCTCTGCTGGAAGGTGGCTGATGCCCCCTTCCCAGGTGAGAGACTAGTCTCAAAAGTGTCGTGATGGTAGCAAGTGCTTACAGAGGGTTTGCCAAGCTTAGCTTCTTCTAAGCTCTTCACGTGTGTTAATCATTTAATCCTCCCAACAAGCCCCTCAGGTAGGTTCTCGTATTCCCATTGTATGGATGGGGAGACTGAGGCACGGAGTAGTTCAGTGTCTTGTTCAAGGTCACATAGCCTGGCTGCAGAATCTGCCCTAAGGCCCCTTGCCGACTTGTGGCAGGCACCAGGTACATGAGTGGCTGTATGGGGACCGACTGGCTTGTCCCCTTCACCAGCTGCGTGTGGTTGGCGTTGCCCTTTGCCAGGGAAACTCAAGGAGCAAGGCCCTTACCTTCTGTCCCATCCTGGCCCAGGACCTCAGGACACTAGACCCAGGCCATGGTTTGTGCAGACCTGGGCTGGCGTGGTGGCGTCAGGAGGCTCTTGGGCCCCTGTTTCCTTCTGGGTCACCTCCGCTGCCCTGGTGTTGGGTTGGTGGTGCTGGTGAGAACAAAGTTGGAGTGCAGTCCCTAGCCACCAGGATCCTCACTCTTCCAGTCATTTCCAGCGTGACCGGAGCCACCCGCTCTGCCCTTTGAGCCGCATTTTCCCTATAATGCAAGAGGCCAGACTAGATATCATGGGACACATGCAGTCCCACCTCCAAGCTTGGGTCCCCCGGGCTGAGGGGCCTTGGACGATAGCGCCAGCGATGGTGGGGGAGGTTAGGGCCTCATTCTCACTGATTAGGAACCCATCTCCCCACCTGTAAAATGGGTAGCTGGGCAGTAAAGAGGTCCTGCTTCTCCTAGGGGTTCAGTTTGTCCTCGAGGCCGGGGTGTGGCGGAAGGAACGGGTCAGGAATGGGGTCTCCTGCCAACACCCCCTCCTGCGGCCCCCAGGTTTTCGACGCTGGGGAGATGTTCGGGATAATGCAAGTGCAGGAAGTGGAGGAGGATGAGAGTGAGGACGAGGCGGCCCGGGAAGCACGGAAGAAGCCCAACCCAGGCGGCCAGCTCTGCTACAAGGTCATCGTGACCAATGAGAATGGGCTCCAGGCGGCGGACCCCAACAGGTAGGAGCCGTAGGCCGACGCCTTTCACCCGCACCGTGGCCGTCAGGGCCGGGCTCCCTTTTACAAAGGTGTCACCGAGGCCGTGGCCGCTAGGGAGAAGCTGTCATCGCGAGCACACGTGCTCCTGGGTGCCAGGCGCTGGCCCCTCAGCCCTGAGACAAGGTCCTGTCAGCCCCGACACTGGCGACGCTCCTGCGTTAGTCGTGTTTCATGCTGTCCTGAGAGCAGCGTCCCCCCCACACGCCTCTTAACTGTCCCAGCGGTCCCTCCATGGAGGTGTGACAAGTTCCCGTTTTGCCGATGAGGAAACAATGGGGAAGGACTTGCCTAGGGTCACACAGCTAGTTAAGATCGTGGGTGTCAACCCCAGGGCAGCCTGGACTCGTGAGCCCGGGCTTTTCCAGGGCCCCCGGGCCTCGCCCCGGTCCTGCTGAATCTCAGTCTCTGGGTGGAGCCCTGCGCTTTGCACCCCGGCTTATGAGGAGTGTGGCCTGACTGGTTCCTCGCGTGAGGGCGCCGAGGCTGGGAGTGGGCCTGGGCCTGGCACGAGGCCACAGGGTAGAAAGGCCAGAGCCGATCCTGGCCCCCAGGCTTCCTGCCTCCCAGCGGCCAAGAGGGGCTGCCCTCCGCCAGGAGAGGCCCACAGGCCCCTCGGCCCGATGTCGCCGGAACCCTGAGGGAGAGACTTGCTGGCCTCTGGGGGTTTCTGGGCCCCTGTGACCGTAGCTCCTCCGGGAAGTCTGGCTCCTTCACCAGCCCCTGGTGGGGTGGGGGGGCCCCCACGGGTCATGACAGCAGCCAAGCTCCTCCACCCCCGTGCCCTCCGACTCAGAAACTTGCAGGCTCCCCTTTCTCGTTAAGCTCAGTACAGCGGACCCGCGCAGGCGCCTGCTCTGCTGCCGCCTGTGCCAGCCGTGGGGCTCGGGCCCAGCGGCCACCTCGAGCAGCTCCCGGCCTCTGCCCCCTCCATGCACACCACCAGGCAGGTTTGGGGAGGGATGGGGCCGGCGTCCTTCCTGCTCCTGGGCCTTTCTTCCCTCCAGACCTCTGTGAGTCCGCCCCGCCCCGCCCCATCGGCCAGGCCCCAGCCTCTATCCTCCCCCGCCCCCGCCACGTCCAGCAGCCATTGTGTGCGTCTGCCCAGGTGACCCCCAGACGCTCCACTTTGAAGGCCTGGCCGTGTCTCACATGGTCATAAACTCTACGCACGAGGACGGGAATAAATCATTTGTTTCAGGATATGCGAACAAAAAATAACGTAAGTGCAGTAATAACTACTGCTGAGCTTGACCCCTAACCTAAGAACCGGAGCGGTGGCTGTGCCTCCCTGTTAGCAGGGCGCCGGGCCAGGGCTGCTTCCCCAGCAGGCAGAACCCCGTGCGCTCAGAGCCTCCGAGTCCAGCAGGGCTTGGATGGTGTCCGGGCAGCCTGGCCTGTGGGCTGGGGGCAGTCATGTCCTTGGGCCTGCAGTGGGGATACCCTACCCTCCACCACGCTGGTGCGAGAGCCGTGCAGCTGGCCCACCGGGCTCCTGCAGAGAGACCGGACTGTGTGGACTGCAGGTGTCCGTACACGTGGGGACTTGAAGCCTCTCCTGCAGAAATCCCTGGCGCTTCCCAAGAATTGCCCAGAAGTCCCGGGCAAGCACGAGTGATGTCTGAGTGGGGCTCCTTTGCATGTCTGCCTGCAGGTAGCAAGGTTGGGGGGCGTGGGCCTGCCCTCCAGCAGTTCAAAATCCAGTTGAGGACAGTTAACTGTCGCGGTGATCGCCGTAGTGATCACTGAATACATGAGGATTCAGTGTACGGTCAGCATGCTGTTTTGTCTCATTTGGTGCTCACGTCAGCCCGGTGATAGGGGGTAGGGACCGTGTTGCCCTGTTTTAGAAACTGGAAAAGGGAGAGGCACTGTCCCAGGCCCGCATAGCGGGTGGTCGTCAGAGCCAGGATCCCCACCCAGGCCTGGTGCAGCGTCCAGGCCTCAGCCCGGCCTCTTCCTCAGGCAGATCCCACCTGGTGGCCCTCTTTCCCCCTCCCTTCTTGCCCTGCTTGCGTGGTAGCCTCGCGCTCACCTGTAACCTGTGCCCGCAGCATCTTCCTTATTGACCACGCCTGGACGTGCCGCGTGGCACACGCCCGCCAGCAGCTGCAGCAGGTGCCCGGGCTGCTGCACCGCATGGCCAACCTGATGGGCATCGAGTTCCACGGCGAGCTGCCCAGCACCGAGGCCGTGGACCTGGTGCTGGAGGAGATGTGGAAGTTCAACCAGACCTACCAGCTGGCCCACGGGGTGAGCGGGCAGCCGGGCCCCAGGGGAGGCAGACAGGCCTTCGCTGCCCTGTGCCGTCAGGGCTAGCAGGAGGCGTCCTTTTACCCCGCAAGTGAGCAGACTCATCTTCTGTGGCCAGTGGAAACTACCCTGGTTCCCCGTGGCTCTGTCACGGACCTGTTACTCTTTGCCTCGGGCCAGCCAGTGCCGGGGACCCAGGTGACCATGCGGCCTTTGGACAACCCTCTCCCGGACCCCAGTGACCTGGCTGCCTCTCTCCTGGCCTCTTCTGGTTCCGTCACCCTCCTAAAAGCCCTTAGTGATACCCTGCTGCTTTTGGGAGTAGAGCTGAGTCCCTTCAGCATATCCTTGGGCTTACATCACCACCCCCGCTCCCCGGCCTCCCCAGACCCACCCTTACGTTCCAGCCCCTCACCACCTTCAGTCCGGGAAAAGGCAAAAGTTGCTCTCCTGATCTCAGCTTAGCTGTTGCCTCCTCCAGGAAGCCTTCCCTGAACTCAGAAGTCTCCCCCCTCCTCCGCCTGCACACAGAACCAGACCATCCCTGTAGCTACTAGGCTAAGTGCCCTCTTTCCGTACACCTTTGCCACACACGTGATCACACCGCAGCCCGCTGGCCTGTTGTCCTTGTCTGCCAGGGCAGGGCCGCCGGCCCGGAGGCCACAGGTTCAAGGGACTGGAGGCGTGTGTGGTAGGTGCTCCAGGCTCTGAGAGGTGGGCATAGATGGGCCAGTGGTAGGTGTTTGGGTCGGGGATGGGGCGGGGAGGCGGAGCAGTGGGCGAGGGTGGCGTATGCTCTGCCCGCAGACGGCTGAGGAGAAGGTGCCGGTGTGGTACATCATGGATGAGTTCGGCTCGCGCATCCAGCACGCGGACGTGCCCAGCTTCGCCACCGCGCCCTTCTTCTACATGCCCCAGCGGGTGGCCTACACGCTGCTGTGGCCCCTGAGGGACCTGGACACGGGCGGTAAGTCAAAGCCCGCCCACCCCAAGGAAGGGCCGGCGCTTTTCTGCCACCCCTGACTGCCCGCGTGTCCTGGTGCAGAGGAGGTGACCCGGGACTTTGCCTACGGAGAGGCCGACCCTCTGATCCGGAGGTGCGTGCTGCTGCCCTGGGCCCCCGCCGACCTGCTGGACCTCAGCTCCTCCACGCCCGAGCCAGCCGACGAGCACTACCAGGTGTGGCCTCCAGCTCGACCCCTGGGCCCGTTTGCCTGGTGGCTCCTGGAGCTTTCTCCACCCGGTCACCACATGTTGCTGAGCAGCAGCTGCCGTGGGGGGGAGAGGAGAGTCTGGGGGTGTCTGAGAGACAAGGGGCTCAGAGCCCAGGGAGCAGACGTGAGCTGCCTGGGGCCCAGACCCCGGGGTCCCGATGCTGGGAACCGTCCTTTCCGAGGGTTGGGTAGAGCTGGGGGACTGGAGGTCAGGGCTGCTGTTCCCTGTTTTCAGGGGCTGGGGGGTGGGGGCAGGGGGCGCTCTGTGGCTCGGCTGTGAATCCCAGCTCCATACCGTTTCTCCATTTCCTGACACCTCCCTCACCAGGGATGTGAGGACACTACGTTCAGACACAGCATGGGATGTCTTCTGGCTCACAGTAGGCCCCCAACAAGTGGTCGTCATGGGTGTCCTTGCTGGGGATGACGGCAGTGCTTCAGTCCGTGGTCTGGGTCCCACCAGGGACCACTCACAAGTGCCTGGCTGGTGGTGAGTTAGTGCAGGGCCCAGTCCGTGAGGCCGGCCAGGTTAGGGAGCCAGGGTTGGTGCAGCCTGGGGTAGGGCAGCAAGTAGAGCCTGTGGGAACAGAACCAGGCAGGGCTGAGCAGGAATTAACACCCTGGCCCTCTCTCCTCCTGCCCTGCCCTCTGATCTCCTGCCACTGCTTCCCGTCAGCTGGTCCCAGTTGGAAACCAAGAGATGCACAGGCCTCTGCTTAGCACTTTACGGGCATTGCTCTGCTATAATCCTTACATTAGGACATCTGGACATATTTTATCTTCATTTTACTGAGGATGAGGAAACTGAGGCACAGAGAGGTTAAGTAACTTGCCAAAGGCCACACAGCTGGTGGAAGGGCGGGAGTCCAAAACCAAGGGGTCCTGGTAACTTGTGGGCAGAGGCTCCGACCTTGCCCCACATGTTGAAGTTTCCCTGCTCCCACCAGCACATCTCATGCTCACTGAATGCCCCAGAGGATTGTGCAAAGGAGTAAACTAGTTAACTCACATTAGAGGGGGAAGCGTGTGTGGCGTTAGCTGTTCTGTGATGCTGCTGACTGGGAGGGCTGGGCTGACACAGTGGCCCTGTTGGCACTTTTCCCTATGAATTTAATAACCTAAGCCAGTGGTAATTGAACTGATCCTGTCAAAAACTCAGGGATCCCCCTTCTCAATTCAGAGGTGTGTTTCAGAGCCTCATAGAGTGCCTGCACCTAGTAGGTGCTTAAACACTTGAACAAGTCAGTGAATGCGAAGGGGGGAGGTTTAAGAATGGCTTAGGAACAAAGACTTCTGGATCTTGAGGTTGTTAAAGGAACGTGAATTGAAATTAGCATTTGTGGGGGGTTGAGGAGGATGCCCTCCACTGGCCAGGAAGAGGAGAAGAGAGTCCAGACACTGGTTTTCTAAAGCGTTCTGGTGGTTTTTTCCCATTTGACCCATCTGGGTCAGGCCTGTGCCCTGGGGTTGCATGTATTAGTTAGCTAGCGCCAGGTAACAATTTATTCCAAAACATAGCAGCTCAAGACAGCAGACGTTCATTATCTCTCGCTTTCTGTAGAGAGGTGGAGAGCGGCCCGGCTGGGTGCTTCTGGCCCAGGGTGTCTCCTGAGCGCAGTCAGGCTGACGTCTGAGGCTCGATGGGGCTGAGGACCGGCCCCCACGTGGCACACTCACGCCTGGCAAGGTGGCGCCGGCCGTGCGCAGGAGGCCTCAGTTCCTCCCCAGCCGTGGGCTTCTCCGCGGGGCTGCTTGAGTGTCTTCGGGACGTGGTGACTGATTTCTCTCGGAGGAGGTGATCTGAGAGAAGGCGGGGAGGAGACTGCAGGGCCTTTCGTGAAGCAGCAGACTGTTGTTCCACTTCTTTCTGTTTGTTATAAACAACTCGTTCAGCCCAGCCCACGCTCAAGGGAGACGAGTGAGCCCTGCCTTTCAAAAGGAACGTAGAAGAGTTTCTGGACACGTTTTATTTTATTTTATTTATTTGGCTGCGCCGGGCGTTCGTTGCAGCACATGGGATCTCCACTGCCACTTGTGGAGTTGCAGCAGGCAGACTCTTGTTTGCAGCATGTGGGCTCTAGTTCCCTGACCAGGGATCGAACCCAGGCCCCCTGCACTAGGAGCGCGGAGTCTTCACCGGGGGACCACCTGGGAAGTCCCTATGGGCATGGTTTAAACCATCACACCGCTTAAGCTCAGAGCAGCGTTTGGGGGCTCCCCGAGGACCAGGTAGCCCCCTCCCAGGACAGGCGGGGCACCTTCTGGGCTGCTTGTGGCTTGGAGGAAGCATTTAGAGCAATGAGCAGATGCAGAGCAATGTGTACGTTGTTCTTTTGACACAGAACAGGCTGTCCGGCACCTGAGGGGCCTTGAGCCCCGGAGTCCTGGGATGGGGGTGGTCAGAGGGCTCTGGGCGCTGCGGTGCCTGCGAAGGGCTCTACCTGAGGTCCAGGTGTGCCCCCTGGGATCCCAAAACCCTGATGTACGGGATGGGGAGGCGTGTGCTCCTTTCTTTGAAGGTCTGTTTCTACCTCCAGTGTTTTCCTTCTAGGCCATTTTGGAGGAAAACAAGGAGAAGCTGCCCCTGGCCATCAAGCCGGCGGTGTATCCCTGCGACCACGTCTTCAAGTGCGTAGCCCACCCTGCCCCCAGCCTGTGCTGAGCCTTTGCCTCTGTCCCTTTCCTCATACACGCCTCACAGTCCCCACAACTCCAGGAACAGTGCTCGGTACAGGGCGGCCTCAGTAAGTCCTCTGCCCCCTGGCAGCACAGCAGTGACGGAAACACCACGGGCGGGGTCTCAGGCTCACAGAGAGAGCGCCCGAGAAGTGAGGGTGAGCTGGGGTGCGCGCAGCCTCTGGAAGCAGGGAGCCGGTGCCGACAGTGACGGTGCTGGGCACCCAGGAGAGCCACCCAGATTGCCAGGGGGGCCGCGCCCAGGTGTCTGCAGGTGTGGGCTGGCAGCTTAACGTAAGGCCGGGCAGGCCAGCAAGCCCAGGCTGGACCCGGGGTGGAAGCAGATGCTCCCTTTTTACGGGTGAGGAAGTGGAGGTCCTGGGTGACGCCTACCAGGCGTCCATCTGGCTCGGCGGCGGGTCCTGGGTCAGCCAGGGGCCGGTTGGCCTCTGTTTCCAGGGGGAGGCCCTCCCTCTGGCTGCCCACACCTGCTCCAGCTGGAACGGACACCATGCTCCACAGACCCCTTCCCCCGGGTTCTGGGGTCTCCTCCCACTGGCCCGCAGCCTGGCCCTCCTCCCCTTACCTGAGTTCACCGCCTACCATCCCTCCACCCCCTCAGGTTGGAGGCTGCACGGAGGCCCCCTTAGCCTCGCCCCCTCCCCACAGCTGTGCTCTACGCCCCAACCACGGACTAAGCGCCCCGTGCCGGCCCCGCCCGAGCAGCCAGCCCCTCGCCTCTCTTCCTCCCTGGGTCGCCGTCCAGGGCCAGGCCTCCCTCCCGCCTTGAAACTCCACAGTGTGGCCGCATCCACCACCCCCGGCAGACAGGCTCCCAGGCCCTGTCCTCTCCTCCCCCCGGGGCCGGTGTGGAATGAGGCCTTATCGGAGGCGGAGGCGCGTGCAGGCCCCCAGGGCGCCGGCTCCCTTCTCTGAGGGCAGAGGTCCCAGCGTGTGGACCCGTCCCGTCTCCACGTGGGAGGAGGGAGCCCCTGCCTGACGAAACGCTCGGGTTCTCCTGGTTCGTCCTCGGGAGGAGCGTGAGGTGGCCCTGTGGTGCCGTCTCACAGGTGGGGGTCCCGGGGTCGCCAGGGTCCGAGTGGCCCCGTCGCTGGGCAGACAGGCGGAGGCCGTGGGGTGGAGCCCGGCCGCCGACCTCCGCCCCCCCCAGGGTCTACACGGACGTCCAGCAGGTGCTCGGCCACCTCAGCCACCCGCGCTTCACCTTCACCCAGAGCGAGGCGGACGCCCACATCCTCTACCACTTCTCGCACTTAAAGGACTACAGGTGAGGCGCCTCCCAGCCCGGTCCCCGCCGCCGCCCCCGGGGCCCCCGCCCCCGCTGACCGGTGGCGCCTGCCTGGGCCCCGCAGAAGGCTGAGCCAGGAGAGGCCCAGCGTGCTGCTGAACCAGTTCCCCTGCGAGAACCTGCTGACGGTGAAGGACTGCCTGGCCTCCGTCGCGCGCCGGGCCGGTGGTCCCGAGGGCCCGGCCTGGCTGCCCCGCACCTTCAACCTGCGCACCGAGCTGCCCCAGTTCGTCAGCTACTTCCAGCAGCGGGAGAGGCGGTGAGGACCCCCGCCCGCCCCGCGGAGCCGCGGCGGCCGAGACCCTACGCCCATCAGGCTCCCGTGGTCCCCGCCACCCCGCCTGGCCCGCCCCCTGGCTGAGCGCCTGCCGTGCGGCGGCCACGGTTCTGGGAGCTGCAGGCTCTGGGTGCACTGCTGCTTGGGGCCCTTCCTCCTGGAGGGGGGCTCCTCACTCCCGAGGCCCAGCCCCTAAGGTCTCCTCTGGGACCCCTCCCTCAGCCCCTGCTCTGCTGCCACAGTACTGGGGACACAGTGCCCAGGAGGGTGGGCCCAGGGCACAGCCTGGTCATCCCCTCTGCTCCCAGGGGCGAGGACAACCACTGGATCTGCAAGCCCTGGAACCTGGCCCGCAGCCTGGACACCCACATCACCAAGAACCTGCACAGCATCATCCGGCACCGCGAGAGCTCCCCCAAGGTGGGCCCCTGGGGCGCCGGGAGGGGGGGCTCTGCGAGGACCTCTGTGGGTAGGTCCCGGCGTCAGCATTCTTCAGCTCACAGGACTCTCACCACCCCCACTCCTTCCCCTGCCCTTGCCAGTGGGGGGAAGGGGCTGTGTGACAGTCGGGTGAGAGGAAGGAGCCTCCCTGGGTGTGTCTGACCTGCATCCCCGCGCGCACCGCGCCTCACAGGACCACGCGGCAGGAGGGAGGTGGCCAGGCCAGGGAGCCCCACGGGGCCCTGGACGAAAGCGCTGTAGTGGCATGGGGCCCATCAGTGGGGGAATTGAAGGGCACAAGGTTCTGCACCTGGACAGAGGCCCGAGAGAAAATGCCACTGCGATGACCCTTGTGCAGTTTTCCAGTGGTGGGATGGGGAGTCAGTGGATTTATGGCTGAGAATCTGAATCCAGTTTTCAAAGCTAAAAACTGGTGGCATCTTTTTCTTCAATTAAAGATGAAGATAAAGAACTCGTTGCAGCTAAGACACAGGTTTGAAAAGACAGGAAGACGCGGAGTGCAGGGAGCAGGTCCCTTCGTGGCACCGGGACGGGAGGTGGGCTCAGGAGTGAGTGTTCCTCCAGAAGCGGTGACAGCACTTGGAGGTCCCACAAGTGGGAGCCACAGCTGGGGAGGTCGGGGTGCTCTGTCCTGGCCCAGGTGTAACAGGCCACCTGTGAGCCTGCATCTGTGTCCTCAGGTTGTCTCCAAATACATTGAAAGTCCCGTCTTGTTCCTCCGAGAAGATGTGGGGAGGGTCAAGTTCGACATCCGCTACATCGTGCTCCTGCGGTCGGTGAAGCCCCTGACGTTGTTCGTCTATGACGTGTTCTGGCTGCGGTTCTCCAACCGGTAACTGGGGAGACTGGGCTGGGGCTGGGGGCTGGGCGTCAGGGCCCCTCTTTTACTCGGGATGAGAACGCCTGCACAGGGGCTCCTTTACCACCAAGCACCCAGCAGGGACCCCGCTGAGCCCGTTTCTGTTAAATGGCAGTAATTCTCACCCTGCGTGTGTCACCACCACCTTGTGGAACAGGCACCTGCTCCCTCAGACCACGACGATGTTTACCGGCCTAGTGGGGATCTTCGTGGTTAACCCCTGGCCGGGGGGGCGGGGGCAGTGTAGGGCCGCCCCACTCTTGGGGGAACCGGCGCCCGGCCAGGGGGCTCTGAGCATCTGCACGCCCGGGACCCACTCGAGCGTCTGTCCGCTTGTCCTGCAGGCCCTTCGCACTCAACGACCTGGACGACTACGAGAAGCATTTCACTGTCATGAACTACGACCCGGAATTGGTGCTGAAGCAGGTAGGGGCCTGGCGCGGCCTGGGGAGGGGTTCCCGTGGAGGCTGGCCCAGACGGGACCCGACACCTGTCAGCTTGTCTTCCGGCAGCTTGCGTAACGGTCAGGGGAGCTACCTTCTTGTACCTGCGTCCCCTCCCACAGCTGCCCCCGCAGCTCTGAGGGGCACTTGCTTGGCTTGAGGGGTTCCCTGAGGCTTCCCGGTCCCCTGGCAGGTCTGAGCAGAGCAGGGTCTCAGCCGGGAGGCGCAGGCCGCCTTCTGTCAGCACCCGCTGAGCATGAGGACGCTGGTAGGGGTGGGGAGGCGCACAGGTTCGCGTCCCACGGCCCCCAGGGCGGGCGGCTCTGTTGGCCCGTGACCCTGTCTGGACCCTGGGCCCTCTGTCTTCCCCGTGCTCTCTGGGCACCGCAAGCAAAGGGCGTCAGCACAGCTCCTTTCGAGGCGAGGGCGTGATCCCCCAGCTGGCCAGTGGTGCACCTGGGACAGGTAGGGGAGGCACAGCCTGGGTAGAGGCAGAGGCCGGCTCTGGGTGGAGGCAGAAGGGAAGGAGAAATAGGCCCCCGGACGTGTGGTCCACGAGGTCCTCTTGGACCAGCAGGTTGGTTATGGCTGTTCTGGGCAGACCGGAAGTAGGGCACAGGCACTCTCCTGCCCCGCTCCACACAAGGCCTGCAGGTGGCCTCTGGCCCCGCCTCCCTCGAAGCAGCTGCTCCTGCATGTGGGGGTTGTGTTTCCGAGGCGAGGCACGTGGTGATTTGTTAGTAAATGCGCTGCCCCGAGCTCTCACTGTGCCATGTCTGAGAAGTCCTCTAGGGGGCGCTGCGCTGTCCAAGTGGCCAGGCCACGTGCACGGCCGGCAGGGCTACTGCTGGTCCTTCCTCCTCTTGTCCTGGGCTGTGTTGACAGCTGGTCCCTAGGAGCCCGAGCCCTTGCCGGGGTCCCAGGATGTTGCTGAGGTTGTCTCTGAGGACCTGAGTGCCTTTCCTCTACATAGCAGGTGTCGTCCCGAGGGTCACGTTTCCTCTGAAGCCCCCGCGTGTGGGGTTGCGTGTCCAGCAGGGTGAGAACGTTGGGCTTCCATAGGGAGCCCGTCCTGGTCCTCTCTGGGAGAAACCTGAGCTGACGACCCGCTTGCTCAGGTGTGTTTTGGGTGACGTCTTGGCCTGAGAAGCCCCTGCTGTCCTCAGGCACTTAGAGCCGGGCCGGGCAGTGAGCTCAGGCCTGGGCCCTGCAGACTTGGGTCCGAGCTCTGCGTCCAGTGACCATCGTGAGATGGACGTGGTGACACGTTGGCCCGGGCCTCCCACTGTTCAGTGCCTCACTGGAGCCTCACGGCAGCCGTGCCAAGTGGGTTTGCTGGGCGGGAAGCGTCCCGTTTTACAGATGGAGACACTGAGACTCCGAGAAGTGAATGTGTCCAGAGCTCAGACCCCGTGTCCTGCCTCCCATTTGTGCCCTGCGGGGGTGGAGCTGGAGAGGCTGCTGGCGCCAACCTGGGGCCCCGGCGAGTATCAGGACTCCACGTGAAAGTGGGGCAGGCCAGGCCTCCCCCGCCCCTGCCCAGAGGAGGCCCCGGGCAGAGCTCGACGGGCCCTGTGTCTGTCGCAGATGCACTACGACGAGTTTGTCCCGGAGTTTGAGAAGCAATACCCAGAATTCCCCTGGAAGAGCGTCCAGGTGAGTCCTGGCAGAGCTGGAGGGGTGGGGCTTGCCTTGTGGACCAGCGTCAGGCGCGGGGTGGGGGGGGGTGGGGGCTTTGCCTTCTCTGGATGGTCCTGCTCTTCCCACCAGGGCTGGTGAGGGAGATGGTGTGGGCTGAGACCCCTCCTCCCCTCTGGCCTGGGTGGGGTGTTGTGAGGGTTCCTTGGAGGGGGCCTGGCGGGGTATTCAGGACACGCTTGGGACAGCCAGACGGCAAAGGGCTCTGTGTGTGCCAGGAATTGCACACCTGAGGGCACACGGGGACGTGCTTCGAGACACAAGCTGGCCGCCACTTGCTGGAGGGAGTGTTTCGGGATCTGCGCTGCCTGGCTCGGTGCAGAAGGGGCCGTGGGCTCCAGGGCGGGGGACCCAGGCAGCTCTGCAGGAGGTGGATGCCAGGAGTGAGGGAGCAGGGCACAGGTGGCTGTGGCCAGGTCTGGAGTCACAAAGGATGTCGGAGGAGGTGACTTGGCCGTTTGGGACCGGGGCTCAGGAAGGGGCTGTGAACCCCATGTGGAGAGGCTGCCCTGAAGGGCTGGACCCAGTGTCAGCCGTGTGGGCCCCTGACCCTGCCTCCCCCGGTCCCCAGGCTGAAATCTTCCAGGCCTTCACGGAGCTGTTCCAGGTGGCGTGTGCCAGGCCGCCCCCGCTGGGCCTCTGCGACTACCCCTCATCCCGAGCCATGTATGCCATTGACCTCATGCTGAAGTGGGACAGCCGTCCAGATGGTGAGGGGGCTCCCCTGCCCCGTAATCCAAAGTGCCCTCCCCACTTACCCAAAGGTGGTCATTCAGCCCTCCCCACCCAGCCCACACGGGGACAGAGGGAGGGCGTCGCTGCTCCCTCGCCACGGTCAGCACTTGCCTCGAATTAGCCTGAGATCTGGGTCAGAGGAGGCCCACCTTTCGGCGCCACGGCCTGCAGGGCAGAGCACGAGCGGGGAAGGCAGTGGGCGGCAGTGGTGTCGGGAGAGAGCTCACAAGGGGAGGGGCCCCACGTGAAGGGCAGGGGGAACGGCAGCCCTGGCCGCGCACCTTCCTTCCAGAGTCCCCGGGATGTGGTGGCTCGTGTCGCTCCTGGGGCTGCAGGTGGCTCCAGGCTTCCCCCTGGGCAAGCAGGCCTCAGGCCGGGCCCCCCAGCCCACCTCCCAGGAGTGAGATGCCTGTGCTTTTGCGCATCAGGGAAGCAAGTGATGCAGCCGCAGCTCCTAGAGGTGAACTTCAACCCAGACTGTGAGCGGGCCTGCAGGTGCCACCCGACCTTCTTCAACGACGTCTTCAGCACCTTGTACCTGGATGAGCCTGACAGCTGCCCCGTCACCCGCCTCGTCTAGGCGCCCGCGGGCCCTGCTGTGGGTGCTTGTGGGCGGATCGCAGCCTCTGTTCCCGGAGCTGCTTCTGCACCGTGCCCCCGCCCCCCGCCCCCACTCCTCCTGCCCCCACCCTGTGAGCCGCCGTGGCCCCAGCCTCACACCCTGGCGGCTCGGGACCCCTCCCCGTCGGTCAGGAGCAGGGCCAGCCGTGCTGCCCCCAGGGCTGAGCGCTAGGCCCCTGCTCGCACGCCCCTTACTGCCGTCTGTGTCTGTTTGGTGTTTGGTCTCAGCTCAGCCACGGGCTTTATTCCGGAGAGTTCGCCTCCTGGGGTGCTGTGCTTCCAGAGGGCGTTAGTGAAAGGGGTCTGGGGAACACGACACGGTGTTGTCAGAAACGAGCTTCCCTAGGAGCGCCCATGGGAGCCCAGCGGTCAACAGGCCCAGCCTGGCTGCTTCCCACGCTCCACCCCAGGCCCTGTGGCAGGCGTCCCCAGGTCCCCCCTAGGAGCCTGCTTCTCAGACCCAACCTTCTCCCCCTTCACCAGCAACCTCCCTTGAAGCTCCGGGGCAGGACAGCCACTGCCTTTGGTTGCTGTTGCCTTTCCATTTGGCCCCGTGGAAAGGGCCAGATGTGGCACCAGCACCTCCCTGCCCGCTGGGCACTGCAGCGTTTCCAGCCTCGCCTGAGGTTGGCTGGGACGCTCCAGTGAGGGGACTCGGGGACAGGTGTGGGCAGCAGAGCACCAGGCAGTGGGCGGCTGAAAAGGATGCTTCCAGGGAGAATGCCGTCTCCCACCAGCTAGAGTCAGAATGTGGGGTTTTTGTAACTTTTTCATTTATGGGAAGAAAATACAAAATTTTTGTTCTTAATTTTGTTTCTGAAATCTTGAGTCAGTTTCCAGGGTAGTTTGTGTTGCCACAGTGTACCCAGCCCAGCTAACCAGATGGCGGGTGTGACTTTCCCGGAGGAGCTGCCTGCAGAGCTTTCATGTGTGTGTACGTGTGTGCGTGCGTGTCGTGTGTGTGTGCGCGTGTATGCATGCGTGTGTTGGGAGGTGCTTGTTTCATTCTGAAGCCAAGAGCGATCCTTGTAGCAAAACTGGACTCAACTGCGCCTCCCACTTCGTGTCTTTTGGGGCGTGTCTGTCCACTGTCTCTGCTAACCAGAAGTTCAGCCTGTGTTCTGGAAAACACCCTTTCCTCCAGCCAAGGAGAGGTTCAGAGGGCAGGACACCTCATCTCTGGTTTTCTCCGTGGGAGAGCTGCTGCGTCCTGTCCCCTCCTGGACGTGATTTGTACCGCAATAAAGTACGCCTTCTCTACTCTTGCCTCCCTTCCTCTCTGGGGGCCCTGGAACCACAGCCCTGTGTGGTGTATCAGTTGTTTTCCTTGCTCATTGTCAAAGAAAACCAAAATATCAAGACGTATGCTCTGAGAAACAGAAGAAATGGGATAGTATTTAGGCCTCCAAGTCCCTGTCTTTGTTTGGGCTGCTCTTAACAAAATATCATAAACTGGGTGATTTAAACAATGGAGGTCTCTTTCTCACTGTTCTAGAGGCTGGGATGTCCTAAAGTCGCAGGGGTGGCAGATTTGCTGCCTGAGGTGGGACGCTCTCCCTGGTTCATAATCAGCTGTATTCTCACTGTGTCCTCGTGAGGTGGGAGGAGCGAGGGAGCTTTCTGGGGCCTCTTTTAAAGGCATTAATCCCATACATGGGGGCCCCACCCTCATGACCTAATCACTCACTTCCCAAAAGCCCCACCAACTAACCATCACACTGGGATGTAGGATTTCAGCATGAATTTGAGGGTATAAATAGGCAATAGTTCCTGACCCAAAGCTTGGTTTCCTAGCACTGGTTCCATTTCAGAATGCGTTGCGGTAGGGACGGATGTGGAGCTGAGGCCCATCTCTGCATCATGACCAACACCCAGGCGCCTCGGTCCCCCTGTGAGCCCTGAATCCGGGCTCCGTGCTTACACCTGGGGGCCTCGGGGATGGAGTTCCCTCCTGCCTGATTCCTCATCCTGGGGGTGGGGATGATAGGAGACTCTGCCCACAGGGCAGCGGGGGATGGTCCATGGGCCCTGTCAGCCGGCACAGTGGCTCCCCCTGGTGGTTTTGAAGGTTAAAACGAAAGCAGAGGGCCCCTGACACCCAGGCCAGGGTCCTTCCCGTGCCCCTCAGAACAGGTGCTCACACCAGGCTGTTCATCAGATGCCTCCCATGACGCTCCTGCTGGTTCCCAGTGAACTTGGGACCCGGTTGCCCAGTGCAATCCCAGTGGAATCAGCATAGTCACGGATCCGAAGGCCACGTGATCCAGGCTTTCCATAATTATAAATGTGCTTTTCCCCGATTCCAGAGGTCCTTACACCTCTGATCAGTGAAAATCAGACAACCCCCAGGAAGACCATCAAGCTGGGCTTCCAGGGTCCCAGAAGACTCGTTGCTGTGGAGACGGTTCTTATCCCTCTAGATACTTTCTGGTACCCATCTTCACCTGAGTCAGTTTCTCTGGCTTAAGAATTCATCAGAAGCCAGACTCTGACGTTTGGGCTTGACAGGAGAGTCCCACTAGCAGTGATAATTGTACCAAAGTTCGACAGGGCGACACAGAAGAAATCCAAAAGGTGAAGCTTGAGATGCTGACGGTGAAATTTAGAAAACGTCCCCAGTGATGACCTATGGCCAATAAACACGGCAGCACTTTCATGGACACAGAATAGGATCTCTTGCTACAGGAGAGGCAGGCTTTCATCTTGCAGGGTCCAGAGCCCGAACCATAACATCAAAATGCCCGGCAAACAGAGTTGCCGTCGCTTCCCTGCTGACCACCGGCCAGCCGAGCCCTCTTGGGCTGTGTGAACTCTTGCTCGCATCCTTTATGGCTAGTCGGACCGAGAAGGGTTCAGACACACGGATTTAAGGAGATCTCAGTTGAATGAAGCAGCTGCAGGAGAGACGCAGACCAGAAGGACCTGACAGATTTGCGTGCTGTGGATTTTCCCATTAAACCAACACAGAGGGAGGGTGGGAGGGAGGGAGACGCAGGAGGGAAGAGATATGGGAACATATGTATATGTGTAACTGATTCACTTTGTTATAAAGCAGAAACTAACACACCATTGTAAAGCAATTATACCCCAATAAAGATGTTAAAAAAAAACCAACACAGAGACTGTCAGAACCCTGAAGTCCCTCGTGGGTGGCGACAGCTCAGAAATGCCATCTAATCATGAAGCACGGGGAGAGCATCGTGAGAAAGTAGCAAACAAAACAGCAAAACGCACCCTCCTCTCGCCCGTTTTCCTGGGTGTTTCTATGGCCGTGTGTGTTTTTGTGGCCAGGAGAAAGGATGTGGGATGTTGCTAGAGATGAACAAACCCACGAATGTACGGAATGGAAAAAAGGGCTCTGCGTGAGCACCACTGAGAAGATTCCAGAAGCCTCAGGTACACTCAATGTGCTAAGTCTGGCAGGCACACGGGTGCCCACGATGTTCCACGGAGCACCCCTGACCGTCTCGGAGAACTTTAGAAATAAATTAGTGAAAAGGACGTGCAGAGTCCCCCATCTGACTCTTCTGCTCTAATGAGCATCAGAAGAACTGGGGAGGGGATTCCCGGGTGGGGCAGTGGGTAAGACTCTGCACTCCCAATGCAGGGGGCCCGGGTTCGATCCCTGGTTGGGGAGCTAGATCCCGAATGCTGCAGTGAAGATCCCGCATGCCACAACTAAGACCCAGCATAGCCAAAAATAAATGTTTTTTTTTTTTAAAAGAAGAAGAACTGGGGAGCTGGCCGAGGGCTCAGCTAAGTGCTCGTGGCTACCAAGCTGCTGGATTCCTGAGCACAGTCTGTGGGGCGTGAAATTCCACCAGGGTTGAGTGTGGGCGAAGTGACAGCCACTGAAAGAGCTGCCCCTTCTCTCAGAAGAATGCAGTCAGCTGTCTGCCTATCTCCCAGAGCGTTCCGTACTGTGTGGTCACGTCCGGATGTGAGGACGGAAGAGGCAAGGTGAGAGGGAGGAGCGGCAAAAGCCACCGGCTGCCAAAATGAGTGTGAGCTCTAGATACGGAAATTGTATTTTTACTTAATTTGAATTAACTTATTCAATGACCGAAACCAAAACAGACAAGCAACAAAAAGGCCAGCAGCTTGGACCAGCCCTGGTCCTAGGAGTCTGCTGCCGGGCGCAGCACAGGTTGTAGGAACTCAGAGGGCGAGGAGTCGGCGCTCCAGCAGCAGCCTGGGGAAGAGGCTCTGCCCGGCCCCACTCCCAACAGCTGCCCGCACAGGTCATGGGTCCCCCAATTCGAAGCCGGGAGTGACACCTCCAAATCTGGGTGGACCTGGGCCAGGGAGGAGCTGTCTGCTAGGTTGGGGCATGGCCAATACTGCCTCTGACCTCCCCTCCCAGATGGAGTGTTTGCGAGGCTGTCCCTGACGGGGTGAGGCTGGCATGAGTCCCAGCACCCCAGGGACAGGTTGGTCGGTGTCCCCTGCTCTGGGCCCAACCCCATCCTGGCTGAGGCCAGCAGAGGACCACTCTTGGCACCCGAGCAGAGTCAGGCATTGGACCAGGCAGGCTGTGGGCCTGTGCCCTTCAAGTGGCTGGGTTGGGCTTCCTGGACGTGAAGGAGGTGGGCAGGGCCTCCTTCCTCAGCTGCAGCTATGCCAGTGTCTGCTGCTCCACCCTGGACGGGCCACCTCCACTCCTGGAAGGGTCCCGAGAATTGTGGCGAAGCCCCGGCCGGGCCCAGCGTCATCTGGATGGTAAACCCGGACGCATCCAGCAAGAGGACGAGCCCCTCGCCCTCCCCACGGCCAAGGGTCCCCCCCAAGTAAAAAGGCCACTGCCAGGAGGTTGAAAAACTTTATTTGGCTTATAAAATTCCACATTCTGACAGCGAGCTTCGAGCAGTGCAGAAAGCACAGGATTCTGTTTCTGGGGTGGGGGCTCGGCCTGGAGCACCTCTGAAACTGCTGGTGACCCCTGGGCTGAGACCGGACACACAGGCAGCCTGGCGGCCAGGAGAGCCCGGGGGCCACCACCACCAGCAACGCCTGACCCGCAGCGGCTGCAGTCCTCGGAGGACGGGGCGCCTTCATTCCGAGAGCCGACGGCCACGGCTGTGGTCCTGGTTGTCCCGCCAGACGCAGTAGTTGAGCGTGGCCGCAAAGGCCAGCCAGGCCAGGTACGGGTAGAGCAGGCAGGCGGCCGGTGGGCTCACCTGGTGCCAGACCACGGCCGTGGCTGCCGCCACTCCACCCATCAGCAGGAGGTCCACCAGGGCCTGCACAGACACAGAGGGACGACAGGGAGGCCTGAGGCTCCACGTACCCATGGGGCTGTGTGTCCCAGCTGCCCACCACCACTATGCCTGAGGGAACTCTCCATCTGCCTCTCAGTGACCTGGCCAAGCCCCTCCCCCATTTTCTGCCTCGGTTTCCTCATCTGTAAAATGGGAACAATTGCCTTCCCTGACTATGTCATGTGTGGGGTGCACAGCACCAGGTGTAATGTGGGTTCTCCTATACCAACGGCCCCTAAACCCATCAGAGCCCCACAAGGCTTCCTGCATTGGAAGAAGAGCAGCTGAGGGGCCCTGGTCCCCTAAGAGCTTCTGAGGAGACGTGAACCAGCAGCCAAGTGCCTCCCCTGCCCCCGCCCTTAGACTCTGACCCTGGGGGTCTGGGATGTGATGCCCCATGTCCCCCAAGGGAGGGGCCGTCTCCAGGGACCAGGGAGACAAGCCAAGGTCACACTTACCCAACCCATTTGTCGGGCACCGAAGAAGAGGGGAGGCCATGCCCAGTTCAGAGCCAGCTGCCCAGCGTAGAGGCCCAGGGGAACCACAGCCTCCTTCGAGAAGCCCCCCAGCTCTTTCCAGATCATGTAGGAGCCATACCTGAAAGAGAGGCTGCCGGTCAGGGCACCAACAGGGAAGAGGCCAGGAGCCTCCCTGCAGGGCTAGAAGCCAAGCTCACCTCTGGGACCACACACTGATGGCTCAGGCATGCCCTGCCACTGACTGCTGTGTGGCCTCAGGGAAGTTGCTTAACCTCTCTGGGCCTTTGTTTCTCATGGGGTTGCTGTGGAGATTCTACTTAATACACTGGCAGTGCGTAGGGCAGTACCTGGCACATGGGACACTCAATAAATATTTGACATTATTATCTTCATCAGTTCTATAAAGGGGGAAGCACATAAGGCATGCAAGTAAACAGGATGGGACTTTTGGGCTGGGCCTTAGAGGATGAGTATGAGTTTGCCAGGGGAGGCAACGAGGATATGCAAAGGCTTAGAGGCATGCACGAGACCCCTGAGTGAGCCTATGTTACTGGTGAAGTCTGGGGGGCACTGGGGAGGTGAAGCAGAAGAGGGCCTGGTCATGGGGCTCTTAGGGCCACAAGGACAACAATAACACCACCAATAATAATAGCTAATGCCCTCCAGCATTTACACACGCAGGCACCGCTCTTTCCGAGCATTAGCTCATTCATTCTCATGGTAACGTCATGAGATGGGCAGTACTACCACTCCCATGTTACAGGTGCAGAAACTGTGGCACAGACAGTCAAAGCGCTAAGGGCTCGTGGCAGGCAATCAGTAGGTGAGTCAGCATTTGAACCCGGGTGGTCTGAGGCCAGAGCCTGGGCTTTTTATTCTGTGAGGGGTTGGACCTTATCTGGGCCACAGGGAGTTTCCACGGGGTTCCACAAGAGAGGTGCCAGATTTATGCTCCATCAGGATGTTGATGGCGGTGGGAGGCCTGGAGGCTGGAGCAAGTTAAGGCAGAAACAGTGGTGCCTGGGCCGGGACGGGGAGGAGAAAGCAGGATACAGGAGGGCCTGGGGCTGGCAGAGGGTGTGGCCCAGGTGACACCCAGGTTTCCAGGACTATCTTACTCCCATCAGAACCCTGGGGTGGACTTCCCTGGTGGCCCAGTGGTTAAGAGTCTGCCTGCCAATGCAGGGGACACGGGTTCAATCCCTGGTCCGGGAAGATCCCACATGCCACAGAGCAACTGAGCTAGTGAGCCACAACTACTGAAGCCCGCGTGCCTAGAGCCCGTGCTCCACAACAAGAGAAGCCACCGCAATGAGAAGCCCGCGCCCCGTAAAGGAGAGTAGGCCCCGCTTGACGTAACTAGAGAAAGCCTGCGTGCAGCAACGCAGCCATAAATAAATAAAAATAAAATAAATAAAAAATTTTTTTAATTAAAAAAAAAAAGAACCCTGGGGCATCAGCCTGGTCTCTGCTACCTGCCCTCTGCAGCCCCACCCTGCACCGGGCTGGCACAGAACCAGTATGCAGGGAACCTTCCAGAGAAGGGTAGGAAGCCGACCAGTCTCCTGGGTGCGGTTCCCACTGGAGCCACCGGGGGGTGGCGTGGGGGGGCACTCCCCCATCCAGTCCTGCTTTGCCTGGTGGCAGTTCCTGGGTCTAGTCCAGGAAATCCTGTAGGGCCCCGACTCCAAAGCCCTGTGTCTGTGGGAGGTCCCTTGTCGAATGGGGGGGTCGTGAAAATTAACCGAGACGAAGCCTGTCACCGGGCAGGTGCTCGACAGATGGCTACTATTACTGCTGTTCTTACTGCTACCGACCTTGGCAGCATCCACATGCCCACGTCTGAACTTTGCACACGGAGCCGGCCTCAGCCTGCTGCTGTGAAAACAGCCAGAATGCCAGTACGGGGCTGCCCGCCCCTCCCAGGAGGCCCCAGAGGAAAAAGTTCAGTTGTGCAACCACAGGCCCCATAGTTTTCTCCACCCTCACTTGCCAAACGAGGCCAGGAAGTGGTACCCGCTGCCCCGGGAACATCTGCACAGCTCCCACTCTGGAGGAGAAGCTCTGCCCTCGGGCCTGGGCCTCGCCCTGCCCTGCCTGCCCCGGCAGGTGGACAGGCCCAGCTGCCAGGCCAGCACCCATGCCCACCTACCCCATGGCCGAGTACAGCGTGCCCCAGATGGGAGCCAGCGTCCAGCGGGGCGGGTGCCACGAGGGCTTCTGCAGACCGGCGTACCAGCGGAGACTCTCCCCGCGGACATAGTGGGAGCCCAGGAAGCCCCCCAGACTGGGCACCAGCGTGAAGCCCACGGCGGGCACCCAGGGCGGGGCCATTGCTGCTGCAGCTGCTGTTCCGGAAAGTTCTGAAAGAGAAGACAGGGCTGGGGTGAGAGGCGGCGATGCTCCAGAGCTGGGGCGGGGCCTCCCCTGGCGCCTCCTGAGGACCTACTGTGCACAAACCCGGGGTGGGTCTGTTACCAGCCCCTCATCACTCATGGCTCAACCAGTCAACTGATGGAACAGCAGGAGGTGCAGAAAAGATGTGTGAGGCTGGGGGGCCGGTGCTGAGTCCGCCCTGCAGCCCCACCCAGCCCAAGGGCCCCAGGGAGTGCGCTTCCACCCCCACCCCCACCCATGAGGCTGCCCTGTCGGCTGCACGTCCACCCCTGCCAGGCTCCTGTGCGCTCTCACCCTCACCCTTGGCCTTGGGTCTCCTGGCAAGTGACCCCTCCTCTCTGCTGCCTCAATCACGGCCAGTTTGGGTCCCCTCCACCAAGAAGGCTGCCCAGCCCCCCTCCCCAGGCGGTATTGTGAGGCCGCCTCGGTCCACACCCTGCGCCTGACGCTCCAATACTTCTCATTCAGTCATTCGTCATTCACGCAACAACAGGTAGCAGACAGAGCTTGGCTCGAATACCCGCTCCCCACCAACATACCGTGGCCTCCAGCAAATGAACAGGACATCAACGTGGCCGACCAGGGTCCAGCCCAGTGTAGGGGGGTCTCTTTGTACATCATCCCACGGGCCCACCCTGAAATCACCTCCCCTTCCCTGTGTTCCAGAGAGGGAAAACAGCCTCCCTGGGGTCACACAGCACTCTGGGGTCAGGCTCTGCCCAGGTCGAAAAGCTGCTGGGCCCTGACGCCCAGGGCCATGGACGTGGTGGGTGGAAAGGGACAGAGTTTAAGGCTGGTGAGGGCCCCTCAGCAGCCCTGAGAGGCTGACGGCGCTCAGGGCAAGGAAGGCCTGGATGCTGTCACCACCACCTCCAGGGCTGGAGCTCCCCAGGCAGGGACAGAGGGGACCCAATCTTCAGGTCTCTCCGTTCTGCTCGTCAAACACTCCCCCTTGCCCAGCAGCCCCCAGGTCTGAGCTGAGGACCTACTAGGCGCCCAGCAGTGCTCAAGGCTCCCGGGGAGCTGAGCTCATTGGGGCTGAGAGTCCAGCCAGACAGCAAGCGGGGCCCTGGGCTGGGGTCGGGGGCCAGCTCTGCCTAACCTGCTGTGGGACCCCAAGCCTATCAGCACCCCCAACTGGGCCTCGGTTTCCCCACCACCAAATGAAGGGGTTGAGCTCCTGCTAACACGCCCTGACTCTAGTTGGAGAAGCCGGGAGTGTCTGTAGGAGATAAGAAGCCACACAGATGGATTACGGTTCAGCAAACTTGCAGGACGGTCTGCTGGGGCGGGGGCTGGGCACCCACGGCGGATGGAGCGGAAGAGGCCCAGACCTCAGACAGGGCACCCCGACCCGGGGTCAGAGAGAAGATGGTGCTGGAAGGGCACGGAGCACTTTCTCCCAGGACACGGGAGGGGACTGCGGCGGGGGAGGAGAGAGGCACGAGGCAGACGGGGCAGCAGGTACCCAGAAGAGGCTGTGCGCATCTGGAGGCAGTGGGCAGCCATCGGGGCTTCCGGGTGGAGGGCGAAGGCTGCCCAGGGCAGAAGGAGCAGCGGCTGGCCTGGGGCGGCACGAAGCTCCATGAGGTGCAGAAGCAACCTCAGTGCCCAACACCGGGGGCTGTTAAGGATGGGTCAACCCCCAAGTCCAGCTTGGAGGACTCTTTAGTGATGTGAAAACTGTCCTCAACATAACATTAAGTGCAGAAAGCAGAATATAAAATTGATACAGAACTATCCCAATTTTAGCAAAAAACGGATATGCATTTTAAAAACGGTAACAAGTGCGTGAAGACGTTAGCAGCCATCACCCTCATAAAACAAACACCTCCTGGGGAACGGCTGTGAGCCTGGCCCAGGCCCAGGCCCGACCCAAACACTGTCTTTCTGTCCTCACCCTTTGAGGGTCCCACACCATCTTATCCCACCTGCCGACGGACCCATGGTGCAGAGCGGCGGGGGCGTTTGCCCAGGGCCCCTCCACAAGCGGGTAGCTTGGGAGTCTAAGGCCCACACTCAGCAGAGGGATTTACGACGCTTTGTTATTGCTTTCCGAAATGTCTATAATGAGCATAATTTTAAAAGGAACAGTCGGAGAGTGTCAGGCATCCAGCAGAATCCGGCTCTGCCATCTAGTGACTCTGATTCCTCCGCCCCGGGCCTCAGTTTTCTCGCCTGTCGAGTGGGGACAGTGAGCTCATTCCCCACGATCACTGCACAGATGAGCCGTGAGGATGAACACTGCCCAGGGCTGGCTGGTGACAAGTAAAGGTTCCTGTGCTTCTCCCCCCGCCCCCCTCACCCCACCCCCCGGCCCTCTGGTTTCCAGGGTGCACACAAGTGTTCCTGGGGTGGGGGCGAGGGTCTGATCTCACCACAGTACGAAGGCCCACCTCTCCCGGGGCCAGGAGAGCACTGGCCCCGTGCTGCTGCCAGGTGGATGTGGAGCCCTGGGACCCAGCCACCACTGTGTCATCTCGGGGGAGCCCAGGCCACCTCAGCCGGCTTTCTCACCTACGCCATGGGGCACAGCCCTGCTCAGCCTGCTTAATAAACGCGTTGAACCCGCAGCCAAGTGACAGCCCTTCGGCAACCCTAACAAGCTGTGTTCAGTGCCTGAGGGCTCCCCTGGACCGTGACCTGAGCTGGGCAGGTGGGAGGGCTTCACCTCGCACTGACTCTCACACACAGGTAGGGACACGGAGGCCCAGGGGGTCGGGGGCTGAACTGTGCCTTTTCCCAGGAAGGTCCCAATTTATGCCCACTTTGTCCCAAAAGAATGGCCCCCCTCCCTCTCAGCAGTGCTCCTTTTACAGGTGACCAAGGTTAATGCCACCAGTGTAAGACACATGACACGGTTCACAGAGGTGGACACACTCGCTCTGGTATTCGTGCCCCAAACACAAACCCCAGTCCAATCATGAGAAAACGTCACAATCCCAGACGGAGGAACATTCGACCAAATACCTGGCCTGCGCTCTAGCACTCTTGAAAAGGGTCAAGGTCACGAAAGGCAAGGAAAGACGGAGGGAAATGTCACCGACTAAGGACAAATAACAGCTAAACGCAATGTGGGATCCCAGACAGATGGGGTCCTGGGCCAGCTGAGCACGTTAGCAGGGTTACCGGCACGGTGTGAATTTCCTGGTTCCACTAGGGGAAGCTGGGTGAAGGGTACGCAGCAACTCTCTGCACTACCACTGTAACTTTACTGCAAGTCTAAAATTAGTTCAAAATGAAACATTAAAAAGAAAAGAAGGGGCTTCCCTGGTGGAGCAGTGGTTGAGAGTCCGCCTGCCGATGCAGGGGACGTGGGTTCGTGCCCCGGTCCGGGAAGATCCCACATGCCGCTGAGCAGCTGGGCCCGTGAGCCATGGCCGCTGAGCCTGCGCGTCCGGAGCCTGTGCTCCGCAACGGGAGAGGCCACAGCAGTGAGAGGCCCGCGTACCGCAAAAAAAAAAAAAACAAAAAAAAAAGGAAAGAAGGACCCTGGTTTGGACACTAACGCGCACAGTCTCTGCTTCGGTCCCTAAGCCCCACCCCTGACCCACCTGCCATCAAGACCCCTCAGAGTTTGCTGATCATTTATTTGTTTTCTATTTCTTATTGCTTTTGGTTAATGGAAATGAGAGTCATATAACATAAAATGAACCATTTTGAAGTGCACAGGTCAGTGGCATTTGGTACATTTCCCAATGTCGTGCAACCATCTCTACCAAGTTCCACCCCAAAAGACGCCCCCCCATCAGCTCACTCCCCGTTCCGCCCTCCCCCGCCCCTGGCAACCACCATCTGCCTTCCGTCCCTGTGGATTTTCCTTTTCCACACGTTTCACACAAATGGGATCACACCTTATGTGGACTCTGGGGTCCGGCTTCTCTCACTGAGCGTGTGTTCGAGGCTCACCCACGTTGTAGCCTGGGTCCCTACTTCTCCCCACGGCGTTGTGGGCAGGGGCACTCGTGTCACCCTGCCACGGCACCCAGCCGGTGCCCGGGAAATCCCCAGCGTGCCAGCCGACGGGGCTGGAGAGCCCACCACCCTGGTCCCTTGCTGTGCAGAACACACACACCCAGGAAGAGGTGGTGGCTCTCCCCTCTGCGGTGACAGAGTAAGGCCTGAGCCCACGCTTCTGCTCAGCCTTCCAGGCTGCTGTGTTTATGCACCGCTGGGCCAAGGGGATTAAAGGGTCTGCCCAGCCTGAGGGTCAGAAAACAGGTAGGTCAAATGCCCCACAAGGAGAGAGCCCAGGCAAAGAGCTTCCTGGGGCTTCACGGGGACTGCCAGGCTCTTGAATCACCCGATTAGGGGACCCACCAAGCTGAGTCATGCTGGGTGGGGCAGGGCGGGGCAGCTGGCCCAAGCAGGCCTGAGGGAGATCCATCCCGTGATGGGGTTAGGGTTAGGGTTAGGGTTTGGGTTAGAGCCACTCCAGTGGCCGGGAGGGGGCGCAGGGCTCAGGCAGAGACGCAAAGCCACCCACCCGCCCTTCATCTGTTTCCGTCAGAAGGTGACTAAGCGCCCACCTCGGCCCTGCCTGCAGTTCTCTTGGTGAAGCCGAGCCAAAGCTCCTCTCTGGGCCTCGGTTTCCCCTTACATCAGGTGGGTGTAACCTGCCCTGTGTGCCTCGTGGGGCTGTGGGCAGGCTCAAGGGAGGTCCGGATAAGCCAGGGGATGTGGGGGTCAGGGCTGGGGACCACTCATGCCTCCAGGAGAAGAAGCCACATGGCGCAGACCCAAGGCTGAGAAAATGTCAGCCGGTTGGTCACCCAATGCTCAGTGGGTGAAAATGCTTCCAAAAGGCCCCGCCCTCAAGGCCTGGGGCCACTGAAACTACGGCCAAGAAGGGCAAAGCAGAGAGCGGAGGCCCTGGGGTCAGGAGACCGTGCAAGGCCTTCGGGAGGGGTGGGGGGCGGAGCCTGGTGCAGGGCCCGGCTGTATTCATCCTGGGTCATCGCGGCTTCACAACAGCCGCAGGGGTGAGGCCAGCTGCTTCTCTTCTCAGGCCCCGAGTTCCACATCTCTCGGCCTCCATAGTGGGTTCCACTTTCCAGATGAGGAAACCGAGGCACAGGGAGTCACAGAACTTTCCAGGTCTGGGTGACTCTGAGACTTCCTGAAACACCCCTCCAGCTCCTGATCTGGAAGTCTGCTGGCCTCAGCTCTGGGCCACACAGCCAGTCACAACGATGGGCTGTGTCACCTCCCCTCTTCAGCTTCCTCCTCCATCGTGACAAGGCCTTTAAGCCCTGCCCCAGAAACCTGCGGGGGGCCCAGGGCTCATCTCAGGCCACTCCCACCCCACCTCAGCCATTCCACCCCCTGCCTGGGTGCCAGAGGATCCTCTCAGGACCAACAGCCTCACTCTCCCTCCCCAGCACCAGGGCCAGGGTCCCAGCCCCGCCGAGGCCTCAGGTCCCAGCTGGGCCCACGGACAGCAGTTTCAGGATCGGAATCCTCCCTGCCCCTGGGGTGAGACTAGGATCTCTCTCCTAGCGATGCTTCACTCCTGGGCCTCTGCGGCCCCGTCTGTGAAGGGGAGGTGGCGGCAGTGGGCCTCGGGAGGAGCTTTCTGTTCTCTGAGGCCTCCCTATAGAAGGTGACAGGAACTGCTGCTCAGAAACAGAACAGAGTTTTGCCGTTTCTCTGGTCCCCACCTCCTGGGCTGTACCCAGCCCCTCCTGGGTCCTATGTCTCCTTCAAGCCACCACCGATGGTCTCAGGGACCTGTTTTAAGGCTCCTTTTTTTTTTTTTTAAATGACTCACAGCTAATCGTCTTCATTATAACCTCTGTTAATCTTTTTCATTATGAAAGTATCCAATGTAACAGACAGCAGGTCTGGAAACCCAGCTGGTCTGGGATGGGGTAGGGCTGGGGGTGACAAAGGGGAATCTGCTTTCCGGAGAATGACTATTGAGACAGAGAGCACGCTCAGGCATTGCTTGCACAATCAAAGATAAGTAAAAGAAAATATAAATAAGAGACAGATTCAGAAATGAAGTAATGAAAAGTCAAAAGTGTATACGGCACAAAGTACGCTCGCCCCCTGTCAGCACCCCCCCCCCCACCCCCACTCAGCGATCCACTGTCAGCGGTTTCTGGTTTCTGGCTGAACCAGCTGGACACCATTCAGTCATGGCCAGGCAGACACACACACACACACACACACACACACACACACATTCCAGGCACACACTCCTCTGGGCATGCACTGTGGAGGAAGCAGGGCTTTGAAATCAGACCACGAGCATTTGAACCCCAGCTGCATTGCTCTGTGCCCCTGGGCAGTTTCTTGGGTGAGCGTCAGTTTCCCCCCAGTTCAGAGGCTCCCTTGGAGGCCCAGGGCTCTGTCTGAGGTTCCCAATGCGGAAGCTGAGCAGCCTGTCTCCTTGCTCCCCGAAGAGCCTTTCTCCTCAGCCCCTTTCCCGACCAGTGGACAAGAGATACTGCTTCCTGGGAGCGGCCCCTGGCCTCCCGCTGCCCTGTGTCGGGCTCCCCACGCCACTCCCCAGAGAGACACTGGGGCCTTCGGCCCACATCCAAGCAGCCTGGCCTTTGGGCCGTGGGCCTGCTGTGCACCAGGCACTCTGGGCCGTGCTCCTCGTACACAGCCTCATCCTTGGCCGTGACCCTTTGGGACACCCTCAGTTACACATCCTTAGGGGAGGCTCGAGTCCTGCCCCTGCCCCTGCCATCTACCCTGCAGCATGTGGCTGGTACCAGGTACCATCGTGCCCTAGCAGGCCAGCCTGAGAGGCTCCCAATCCGGGCCAGGCCACAGGCCTCGGCAAGGCTGGCTCTGGCACTCAGCCCTGTGTTCACAGCTGGAAGCCCCCCTGTAAGCAGATAGGGTCGAGTGCCCCCCAAGGAAGAGAACCGTGCATGGCTTTCTTGACACAAGAGAAGCCATTTTAGGCCTAAGCCGTTTTGTGATCGAAGCCTGGCCACAGGGCTTGCCCTTGAACAGGCCTCTAATAATCTTAAGGGAATGAAAGAACAGACAACTGTTATCAGGCAAGAGAAATAACAATAGCAAAGATAATAAGTCAGTTGTAAAGACTCCCAGTTCTGTCTCAGTGGTAAAGGTTACCCCAAAACACGTTTTTGAGCTGTTTTGCAGAATTTAAACACATCTCCCTACCCTCACCCCAAGTGCTCAGCTACCAGATCAGCTGGAACCTAAGGGACAAGAAGCTGACCTTTGCTGACCCGTCGTAACTTCAATCAACTAAAGCTTGGACTCTATAGACCTCTGCCCCAATTCTATGTTGAATTCTCCTCTGCTCAAGCCCCTTCATGAATAGGCAGCTTAAAACTTCCCCAGTTTGGCTGTTTGGGGAGACACTTCTTTGGGAAAGCTCCGAGGCGCTCTCCTTACTTGTTGGAAGGAATAAATCCTGCTTGCTTGTGCCTTTTGGACCCAGTTTTCCGGGAACAACACGACCCCTCCCACCTGGGCTCCCAGCTCCTTTGCAGGAGGGGCAGGGGACAGGCAAGTCCCAGCGGATGCCCAGCCCACAACCGGGACGTGTAGGTTACAGTGCATCTGAGCACTTGACGGGGATCTAGGGACCCGGTCCTAAGGCTCCGCGGGGCCTTCACTGGCTTTGGACAAATAACTTCCCCTTCTCTGGCCTGGGTTTCCTCCCTAGAAATGGGGTGTCTCAAGTGGATCAGGAGCCCGAGGTCTCCCAGGCACTTTGTGATCCTCAAGGTATCCCGCTCCTCCACTCCCGCCCTCTGCCGGCCGCGGCTGCTCAACTACCGGATTGGGCGGGAAGCGGGGGTGCCTGGTCCCTCCCGCGGCTCCGCTTCCCGCGGGACCCGAGGGCCCAGCGGGGTGCGGCGGGGCGGGGGTGCCCAAGTTCCCCCTTCCGCGCCCCCAATCCCGCCGGAACCCGGCCGCGCAGGAGCGCCGACCGCTGAGGCCAGGGCCGGGGGGAGGGGTGTCACCGCCCCCCTCCCGCCGGCCGACCCAATGGCCGGGTCCCTAGTGCTGCCCCCCGGCCGCCCCCTGGGTCCCCGCCACCTCCCGCCGCAGTTTCCCCTCGGGCCCCGCGCCGGCGGGCGGGCGCTGTCGTGGGTCGCTGCCGCACGGGTCCCCCTTCCCGCCGCCCCTTCGAAGCCCCGAACCCACTCACCGGCGACGACGACTCGCTAGGGGAACGGCACTGCGCGGCGGGAGGTGGGGGCCGGGCCCGGACCCGGACCCGCCCGCGAGGCCCCGCCCACCCCGGCCCCGCCCGGCTTGGCTGGAAACCCGGGCGGCGGCCGCCGACAACCTCGCGGCTTGGGGTGCTCCCTCCTCTGGCCGCCCTGCCAGAAAGACGCGCCTCCGCCTCCCCCGGGCACTAGCGCGCCTCCCGGCCGCTTCTCCTTCCCACCGTGACCGCCCCGCCGCGCAGACACTGCCGGCTCTGCGGGCAGGTCGCGTCTCTTCCTGTGCCTCATTTCTCCTATCTGTAAAGTGGGCCGATAGAGATCACCGATCTCAGAGAGGGCAATTACGTCGCCTGACGGCAGAGCCCTGAACATCCTTCTACACAGCAACCCTGGCCACCATCTCCGGAGGAGAGCCCCAGTTCCTTTAGCTGTTGCCCCAGGACAGGAGGCAGCCCTGGCCCAGCCTCTCTGCGGCTGGCTCCCTCCGCCTCCATCTCCTCATCGGTAAAATGGGCACAGCATGGTGGGACTAAGGAGGATGCCACATGGTAATGCAGGAGACCACAGGCGCTTGGCATTCAGTGACCATCACAGCCCAGAGGTGGCCTCCAGTTGGCCAGGGTCACCCTGATGGGACAGCGTGTCCAGGCCCAGGCCTTGAGCACTTCACCGCCTCATCGGCATGCACTGCTTTATTACTGCAGCCCAGGGCCTGTCACTGCCCCCTTGACTAACTTGGCCTGGCGGGGCCCGCAGACTGCCAGAACCACAACTGCCCGAACTGGACACTTGGGGTGGGGGTCGGGAGGCCCAGGTGAACCCTGCCTGCTGCTCCTGGGCGGAAGTCTGACTTCCCGAGGCCCTGCCTTTTTTGCCTTCATGGACCTCTTCTACCTTTGACTGCGTTTGTATAAAGGCAGATATAATCCAGGCTGGGTTCTTTTCACGTTTTTCTTCTGATTTTAAAAGAAATGAAAATATTTTCCTGGATCCCTCAAGGTACCATGGGCCCACACGTTGTGGCTACTGTTTCTCACGAAGTTGGTCTGGCCACGCCTCCCAGCAAGCGGCCGGCCCTCACCCGCTTCCTGTAAGGAGGTGCTCAGTGGCTCGGCTGAGAGGCAAACCCGCCTGCCCTGGAAGACCCGTGGCGGGGAGGCAATGCAGCTTCCCTCCCGCCTCTCCCCTCCCGCTTGCAGGGCTCAAGGCCCACGGGGCATCCTGGGAGGCAGCGATTTCTGGTCCCAAATACTTGCTGGGCACCAGGGCCCGGTGCAGCGGGCGGGCAGAGAACAAACACACTAGGCCCGCCCTTTTCACAGGTGAGCCCCTGCAGTTCAGAGGGCCAGCGGCTGCCATAGGGATTAACACTGCAGGTCTAGATGAGATGTGGATGCCCCTCCTGGGGTGCTGGGAAGCCTCCCGTTACTTGTGCCCCCCTCTGCCCAACCCCACACACCCCACCTAAGCCTGGGGCAGCGGCCATCATCCTCCCTAGCTGGCCCCCAGGGAGCCCCTTCCATGCCCCTCCCCTGCTCCCTTAGGATACAGTCCAAGCCTTTTCCCTGGCACTCAAGGCCCTGACTGCCTGACCCTATCCCACCTCCGTGCCTTTGCATACACTCTTCCCCCTGCACAGAGGATCCTTCACTCCCACCCTGGGCAACTCCACGTGTCCAAGTCTGACTGCTCCCCAGTGTCACCCCAGGAAGCTCTTCCAGAACGCTGACTCTGTACCACCCCCACTCTAATCGGGCAGTGACCTCTGAACTTCACAGCACTGAGCATAGGAGCCTCTCCTGGGCATTTGGCACGTGCCAACCTCAAGGGATGTATATATTGAGCACCCCAGGTTGCCCAGCTCTGGGCTCAACCCTGGAGGGTACAACACAAGCAAACCCAGCCCCCGGCCTCAGTCAATCGAGGAAGGAGACATGGAAAACACCCTCCCAATCCCCAGAGGATACTCAGAGAGGTGACAAGGTCACACAGCTTGTCAGTGATGCAGTCAGGATTTATACCCCTGCAGTCCAGGGCCTGAGCTCTTAACTATTGTGTCATTCATTAGGCTTCTCAATTCTAAGTGTGATTTGAGTACAGTATTTTCTTATATTTTGTGTGTTTACTTTCTTACATGAATAATTCATATTTATTGTAAGGAAATTGGAAAATACAGGCAAAAAGAAAAAAGTCACCCACTCTCCCATTACCCAAGCACAGTCAACACTTTGTGAGTTTTTCTATGCCTTTTTCTAAGCATGTGCACATGTTTCTTTACAAGAATGCCTTCATGAAATAATTGGTTTTGTAATTTGTTTTCTTCCCCTTACAATAAATCAGAAACCTCTTTCTACATTATCAAAACTTTGTCTACATTTAACACGTGTGCACTTTAGAATAATAACAAGATGCCGTCTGTCCACCCCCAGGTTAATAAGAAGAAGATTCCCAGGGCCCTAGGAACCTCCTGGCGCTCTCTCTGGGGATTGCTCCTGCCACTCCAGAGGTCACCTCTGTCTTGACTTTTGGGTTAAACACGCCCTTACTTTCCTTTAGAGTTTTATTAAGACCCTTAGGTATGTCTCCCTGAGCCCTATATTGATTCGCTTCAAACAGCTGAGGGGCAGCATGCAGCTGGCTGGAGAGAGTGGACACGATGGCCGGGGCAGAGGAAGACCCCTACGAAGGTGAAACTGAACTGAACCGCTGGGGCACAGACTGGCCTCAGCCTCCCTGAGCATTGACAGGAGTCCCCCTGGGGCAGCTGGTGGGCAAGGCTGGGTGTGCAGCTCCCCTGTCAGCACATCCCGCCAGGCTGTGGTGTGGACATTCAATATGAAATAGAGGCATGGGCTGTGTGTCTTCTTGCTTCTGAGCTCTCTGCACCTGTGTCCAGACCTCAGGAGCAGGGGTGGACACTTCCGTGAGACGGAACAGTGTCCTTCACTGAGCCAGGCAGCAGAACATGGAAGGGAGAACAGGGTCTCATCAGCCTGTGATCAAGACAGCCAAGTGTGGACGGGAATCTAGGCCAGGCTCACCAGACATTTCAGTTCCTAAACAGGCAGGACAGTGACAGGTGGCAACTTGGTGATGACAGCCCTCTGTGCATCTCTGATGTACCGGCTGCTCGAAGTCCTGGTGCACAGGTCATCCTGGGGTCTCTCTTCACCACCAGCCTGGGGGTGGCCTTGACCCCTCTGTGGTAGCTGGCTTCTCATTTCCTGGACAGCACATCTCGCCCTTCCTGGTCCCCCTGTGTTGGCGATGAGCCCATCCTCCAAGAATGCAGTCTTTTTTTTTTTTTTTTTTACTGTTTTTTTTTTGACTGCGTTGGGTCTTTGTTGCTGCGCGTGAGCTTTCTCTAGTTGCGGTGAGCGGGGTCTACTTTTCATTGCGGTGCGGGCTTCTCTTGCTGCGCAGCACGGGCTCTAGGCGCGTGGGCTTCAGTAGTTGTGGCGTGTGGGCTTAGTTGCTCCGCAGCATGTGGGATCTTCCCGGAGCAGGGCTCGAACCCATGTCCCCTGCACTGGCAGGCGGATTCCTAACCACTGCGCCACCAGGGAAGTCCCCAAGGATGCAGTCTTAAGAAAGGCTACATAGGAGGTATCGTTTTTGAGATCTTGCACTCTGTCCTGTGGTTGACTGATGTTTGACGGAGTAAAAATTCAAAGTCGGAAATCGTGGTCCTTCAGCATCACGGAGACACGCCGTTTTCCAGCTGCCATGGTGCGATGAGCAGACTGAAGCCATTCTGTGTTCTGAGCCCTTGTGTGTAACCCCCTTTGTTCTTCCTGGAAGATTTTAAGCTTTTCGTCCCCAGAGTCCTGGAATTCCATGCTGATATTCCTCGATGTGGGTCTAATTTCATCCAATGTTCCAGCTCTCAGGAAACTCATATCTTTTATTTTTCAGAAACTGGATTTTTAGAGGGGATGATTTCCTTCCCTCCATTTTCTCACTTCTCTTTCTGGAATCCCTATTACTCAGAATCCTGGACTTCCTGGGCTTGCCTTCTAACTTCCCTGCCTCTCCTGCTTCTCATGGTTTGCTTTCTTCTTTTTCTGTAAACTTCTGTGACGTTTCCTCAACTTTCTCTTCTTGGCCCTCTACTGATTTTTTAAAATTCAGCTATCCTACTTTCTTATTTCCAAGGGATTTTTGTTGTTGTTGTTTTCTCAAGGTTCTTTTTTTAAAAAAATAACTTCCTGGACTTCCTTGGTGGTCCAGTGGTTAACACTCCATGCTCCCACTGCAGGGGACACAGGTTCAATCCCTGGTTGGGGAAGATCTGGAATGCTGCACAGCGTGGCCAAAAAAAAAAAAAAAAAAAACTATTAAAAAAAATTAAAACTTCCTGTACATTTTTCACTGATGCAATGTCTTCTCTTACCTCTCACCTATCAAGGATAATTTTCTTAAAACAATTATTTTCTTCTCTCATCATAGTCTCTGATTCCTATGCATTGCAGTTATTTTATTTTATTTTTTTCTGTATGTAAGAGGCTTTCCTCAGATGCTTGGGAATCTTTGCCTGGCTGCTCATGATAAGAAGAAAAAAGGAAAATAAGTCTTTGGATGGTATTTGTTGAATTAGCTTCACTGTAAGTTGAACTTGTTGGTCATTTGTCTGGTAACTTCCTGGACTGTCAATATCTTCAGCATTTTCCTCTTGTACTGGTCAGATTCCCCAAGTCCCTCCAGTTCTTGCCTGGAGGGTAGGGGTCTGGTGGCACATTTCTGGGAGCATGGGAGGAGATCTCTGCATTCAGCAGTCAGTATCCACCTGTTTCAGCAGAGAACCCACATTCACCATGATCCTTGGCCTGCCCAGCCCTTTCCAGAGCTAAGCATTTGCCAGAATGAGGGAGGGGTGTCACCCAGGGGCTAAAGAGAGGGAAGACATCTAAAGATCTAACTGTTCTTCAAAGACACCTTCAAATAGTTCTCTTAATTTCAGCCTTTTTTTTTTTTGCGGTACGCACGCCTCTCACTGTTGTGGCCTCTCCCGTTGCGGAGCACAGGCTCCGGACGCGCAGGCTCAGTGGCCATGGCTCACGAGCCCAGCCGCTCCGTGGCATGTGGGATCTTC